CCTGTTTTTGGAAATATGCCTAGGTGGCAAAGTTAAGATAAAACATCTTTTGTAAATGATAATTTTAAATTTGTTCTTGTACAATAAATGTATCTGAACACCTGTATCACAATGGGCTTGCGTCACGTACCCAACTTAAGTACTAGTTTTACCATTATCATTTTTAGATAGCACTGCGCTTGCAGTACTAGTGTGGTGTACACATCATTGCATGTATGTCAGTAGGAATTATTTTGTGTTTTAATTGGATTGTATCTCATGAAGTTGACTGTACCTATGACAGACGGTAAGTACAAGTTTTGGTATAGATTTGGGTAAAATAGTCTGAAATGCAACTTTAAAGTTTAGAGGATCAAAGGTTCTCCGATGCTGCAACATTCTGAAGAGTTATCGCCCGTTATCGACGTTACATTCAGTTACAAGATACATTTTTTTCTGGGAGGGAGGGGGATTTCCAGACCAGAATTTCCTGATAAGGGTGGAGGGCATCCAAAGTCATTTTTATTTGCTTCCGTATCTATTATAGTCCCGCAAATTCCGGGGGGAGGATGAGGGGGATCTCCCAATCCACTCCCTGTTCCTGTAATGACAAATGATCATGTAACTCCTAAATAGTAGAAAACTTATTCCATTTAACTATACATAATTTTGTTTTTTGTGTTATTATGTTATGTAGGTATAAAGGTTATGAACCCATGGAGGTCATCCCCACTCTCCTAATAAACTGGAAATGTTCACAATATGACTGATTTAGTTAAATAAAAGTGCATGAGTAAAATGAGTAAAAACAATATACCCGAACTTTCTTCAGAAAGTGCGGGTATAATCACCTCTTATATTCCAAGGGATCACATCTAACATTAGGAGGGATTGTTTCTAGCTGCTCCATCCTCAGATGTTTAATTTCCAAAAGAAGCTCCAAAAGAAGATCTCTCTCAGATTCATCAATTGGAGAGGATCTGAAAGCTTGTGTTTCATTCAGTAATGTAGAACCACCATGTCTTCCAATAGCCTGAAATAATTTGATTTCTAAGCTTGTTTATACGCAAATCTTTTGAAATTTTGACACAGTCATTTATATGAAGTGATTTTGAATTCCTGCCTTTTCAGATATAAATGATTTGACAAATGCTGGGTTTAAATATTTGGAAAAAAAGTCAAACTTTAAAGTCTACGCAGCATTGTGAAGGCTTGAAAAAGGATGCGGGGCCTAATTTATACGTGAAAAGATTACTGTGACGTAACACAAAAATCTGACTTTAATATATTTCTCATAATACCTGAAAATGAAATAATTTGCAACTTTAACTGTATTAGCATAATAAACAACAATTTAACTTATCAATGTATTAAAAAAGTTGCTTGTTAAATTCCATGTAGCTGGCATTAATGAAAGCACTGATCGCAATGAACTTGTAAACATGACGTCATATTGGTAAAAATGACGTTTTTCATGTGCTATGAGAGGCAGATTGAGGAATTTTTTAATAATGAAAAATGCGTTTTATTATTAAACGGAATACTACTAACAGGTTTTAGATAGTCGATAAATACCGATGTATATCCTTTGTTTAGTGCAGTTATTAATTAACTACCAAGAGAATGTATTTTATTAATTATGTGTTTTTATGTACAGGTTACGTATATTTTACATCGAGATGCTTCATTAATTCGTACTTTTGCAAGGGCATACATGTACACTGCATACATCTGAATATTTTTTTGGAAATAGAAAAAAGATATTTTCCTTAACTTGAAAAGTGCTGCTGCTCTCTTTAAATTGAAAGCGTGATTTTATATGTACACAAAATATTTGGTAAAAGTCAAACATATTTCGACATTGGCTTATTTACTTAAAAATTTAACTATTAAAACGCGAGTTCTATTCAAAGCAGCAGCACTTTTCAGAAACTACAAAGTATGCAGAAACAATTAATAGCTTAAATTTTTAATATATAATATATTTTTAATATATTTGATACGGAAATTTGTTAATGACTTACATTCAGTACACGAACTCTGCATTCATCACATGACTGTCCATCGATGGGACTAAACCTCATACAGTACAGAGTGGGTTATACTATGCTATTTCCATAAGTATTAAAGTTCTGTGATAATAAAACAGCTTAATTAAAATAAATTCAATTTTAAAAAAATCCCCCTTTTTTGCACGTCTATTTTCCGTTGATTTCTCATAGTAGGCCTTAACAGTGCTGCGTAGGACAAACACAATGGAGCATTCAAAAATGTCTTGATATATGATATAAAAGTTGAGAGCAAAAGTGAATCGGAAAAATTTTCCTTGAATCAATATTTTTTTAAATGTAATGTAACATGACTTTCTTCTGTTGTCAATGAATTTTCAGATTCTTTAGTATGGCTAATAATAGCATTGTTTACCCCCTCTACATCTGTCCAGCTTGTATTAAATTCATTTCTATTCATCCTTGCATCTGCTGAATGGGCCACCATGTTTCTGTAGAACTTGATTCGTGCTAAGTCAGCCCCAGTACTGACAACTGAAGGATTGGGTAGAACATCAAATCCTCCTGCTGGTGGTGGTGTAGAGGGACTCATGTTTCGTAAAAGGCAGATTAACAGTGTAACATCAAAGTCCTTTGACACAGGATTGGTAACTTAAACAAGAGAAAAAGAACATTGGAAATTTTATGCAATCTTTTTAAAAAGATAATTAGTCGGTTTTAAAGTGAAATAGAAAGTTCAAAGGCTTTTGCGAGGATTTTCTGTAAAAGATAATTGTAATTGTAATTGCAAATAGAGGAAGGGAGGAGGGTTATTGATATCCTGATACGCCTGCAGACCACAATCCCTCAATTTATCTGCTGATGTACCAGGGTTCTCCACAAGGGGTTTTACCATGGCGGCCATAGTTAAAGAAGAAGGTATGGTTTTAGCTTTATTGCGCCCTAAAATGTAATGACAGCAAAAAGTTTTGAAACTGGCTTAAATATTAGTTTAATAAATGACTATGATAAATCAGGAAAGAATATGACATGAAGGTTTACCATTCTGCAAATATGACGTCATTAATTTGAAGCATTTCTCTATTTTCAAAAGAAAAAATCCTCAAAATTGCACATTTCAAGAGCGATTTTCCTTTCGAAAACAGTGTCCACAGACGTCGCCCACGTTAATTTTTTGATATTTTGTGCAAAATTTAATCACATATCTCAAGATCTTTGTGGGCGATGCCTGTGGACAATGTTATCTGAAACAAAATTCCATTGAAAATTGGTGTCTTCTGCAACTTTTTAAGAAAATACGGGAAAATGCACATGTTTATGACGTCATAATTAGCATTTAAAACACATTTGAGAAAAATGACTTGTATGCTTTTTCTGCATTGAATTTCAATTATTTAAAAAGCATGTGTTTTCAACTTTTACACCAGTTTCATTTTTTGAAAATCACAGGGCAATATTTGTATGGAAACTAACCTTCTTCTTTATGTGCGCCATGGTTAAACGAGCTGCGCCATGGTTAAAATCGGCAGCCGCAATGATTAAATTCTGTTGCATTTCAGTCCTGACCCCTACTTTTTTAATGACTTGAGTTGTTAATTGTGTTTATTCTACGACTGCCATGCACCTCGAGAGAAAGCCAGGTCGTGCTAAAACAAACACTGTCATAAATCGGCGACTATGATATGAAGCGTAACAATGGAGAGTCAATCAGCTGAGGATCAATATTTTGTGATTCAATTATCCTGTACACATGTAAATAATTTTGGGGAACTTTGATCAACATGTTCACTACTTGATTAGATACTGGGTTTATAAAAGATGACAACTACAAACATGATAATCGACATGCATGCTCTCGAACTTTCTTACTGTGGAAGCAAAAATATTACCGGATACCCTTTCAAAATTTCCTTTGTATTTAATCATTTCCCCGTTTTAGAGTTACTTCCCATTGTTATGAAACGTCGTCGCGTTGCGCTATTTTATAAAACTAGGACAAATAATAGTTAAACAAAGGAGTAAACCAGGTGAAAATGCAATATATAGAAAAATAGAAAGTTTAGAAGAAAGGACACGGGTCCAAAAGTTCGTTTGTGTGTTCACTTAAAAAAATACTTCCCATTCCTCAGTTTTAATCATATTATATTTTCATCCACTGAATAATTTCCCCTTTATTTCTGAAGAAAACCCATTGCGTTCATCACTGCATGAACTACATTGGCATGTCGCCAGTACAGATTTCTTGATCAGTGGCTGTTCCATAAATGAAACGTATAAAGACGTTTGTATTATTTATACAATAATAAACCTTTTTATTCAAACTTTAAATGAATATTTAAACAGATATAAATATAAACAATAAAATGCTCGCAGCTATTGCATAAAAAATTTACATAACCCGCTTACGCGGGTTATGTATTTTTCGGCAACAGCTGCTTCCGTTCATTCCAGTAATAACAAACAAAGAAAGCATTTTATTGTTTAATTAAAAACAAAACGTTTCATACGACAGGCTACTACAATTCATATAATTACTAGTTTCTGAATAATATTGCCATGGTAGCTATATGAAAGGTTTTTCTTTAAAGGTTACCTCAGTTTAAAGCAAATTTTGGTACATTTGTGAAGTTACATACATAATTCTTATTATTTTGATTAAATTATTTCTTAGCCTTAAAAAGTGTTGGTTATTGAAAAGTTTTGTGATGCAGTGGTTAAGTTTTTAAAATGTAAAACCAATCATCGGTTAATGAAATTTAGGAAGCCTAACAAACATTCTTGTTTTCGGTCACATTTTTCCTTCGCACAGCTTCCTCCATGGTTAAATTTTCAAATGTGGAGAACCCTGTGTACTATTTAAAATTGCTTTAATTGCTAATTTATCAAAGAATATTTTTAATCAGTGAAGTTGATTGATATTGAAAGGAATATGTTTATCTACTTTCTCTGACATTGTCTTCACTATACCTCCAAAAAGTGTGTCCCACTGGACCTGGTTTATTATTTTTCTAGATTTTAACCTTAGCAGTGTAGTTTTCTGTGTCGCTAGGTCAGTTACGAGGTTACTTGGAGGATGAACTGTATCAAAATGGACCTCTTATGGCCTTTGGTGTCCTCTTCAAGACCAGATTGACAAATCGTAGATAGTTGGTTTCCTCTGGTGACACAGCAGGCCTGGTTCCTGTGGCCGGAAAATAAAAATCTGAAAATAAAAAATACTTTTATCGAATAAAAGTACAAGGTTATTTCAATGTCAATGTTAAGGCAACTCTGTCTGAAAAAGTGCTAAAACAGATTCAAGGCAATCAGTAGTCTACTCAAAATATGTCAACAAATCAATTAATTTCCTTTTCAACTCAAACAACTTCGTAAACTTTTATATTACTATTGCTGTTATATACACATCAAATCGCCAAAACGAAAATCAATGATTAATAAAACCTACCTAGGAATTAAAATATCGTGTTGTCTCTTCCTAATTTTGGGCAGTTGATTTATTCATATCTTTTAGCTCTCGTTGTGCTAGCACTCGGAGCATTTATATGAATCTCAGTGGAGCAAATCACTACCATGAAAAGAATCAATGTCATTTAAAAACCCAAGATCGCTGGAATCGGAATTAATTAATCAGTGCACTGGCTGGGTTTCACAAAACTATCATACTAAGATTTGTCCTTAGATATCTTACGATCATCTTAAGATCTGACTTATGACATTCATAAGATTTGTCACCGCTTTTTCACAAAACTATCTTAAGTATAAGAAATCTTAAGACAAATCTTAAGACAAATTTTATTCGTCTATTTCACAGGGATTTTTTGTAAAAAAAATATGTATGCACGAAGTTTAGTAGCCTTTCCTTAATTTTGCAGATATACCGTATACGTAAAAAAGCATTTAATTTCGGATTTTTTTTTATTTAGCAATACAGAACAGTAAAGTTCTCCTGATGTTGATGATGATGCTGATGTTTTCCTGTTATAAATTTTGGAGAAATACCCTGTATTTTCATGAGAATGTTAAATGTTAAAATTTCCCAATCACTTTTTAATAACTTATTCCACACAAAATCTACAAGTAATTTCGATCCAAACAAAAAGGAAAATTCACAAAAACGGAAAACATCCTCTACACGTAATTTCGATCAAAATGAAAACTTAAGGAAAATTCGCAATAAAGAACAACATCCACTCTCCTCGTGCAAAATCATTCAATTCCATTTTTTCGCATTTTTATTTCTTAAAATCCTTTTCGAAGAATTCTCTGTAAATCCTATTTTGTAAATCTAGTTAAACCGGTACTTTTTCATCCCTTAAATATATTATAATCAATCTCCATTTACAATAGATCACAACAATTATGGTTAAATTCTCCATCTCATCCATTAAGACTGATTATCACTCAATTACATCTATCCGTTAAATTGTCAAAACTAATCTGACTGAATCTTTTGTTTTCCGCAGAAATATATATACTATGAATGCGTACTTCCCGTCGAGGCCTCATCTAGGAACTCTGGCGGAAGTTTGGATGCTGCACAGCTATAAAGTGGGCTGAGCTATTTTTGACTGATCGCGTCACAAATCATTTAGAGAACTTGACAGGTTCTGTATCGTAGATACAAACTAGGGGTTGGAAATTCGTGTTACGCACTTGTCTATCCCCAAATTTTTATCTACGGTACAGAATCAGTCTCGTTTTCAAAATAATACTTAAAACACATGTTCGCAACACATTTATCCAATTTCTGATTGTTGTTAGAATTAGTTTAAGGAACATGAGGCATAACTGTTATTATTATACCTCTGTTTTTTTTTTCTATATAAAAATAAGACGAATAAACATGCTCTTTTTTTCTAAACAGTCTCTACCGTGAAATAGTTTTTGTGCTATTTGCCCATGGTGAATAGTCCTCAAACTATTCAACGGCAGCATTCGATTACCCTCGCTTTTCATATCTGAACAACTTCTGATTTTACATGGATTGTGACGCGTATATATTATGACGTAACAAAAGTTAAGTCAGCACCGGTATAAATATGGAATATCATAATTGTGTGTACCCTGGACTCCCAAAAGTTAACAAAAGTTAAGTCAGCATAGGTATAATAAAACACCTATTTACTGACTATTCGGACAATAGCAAGTTTATGCGCCTCGGGAAATAGTTTGCTGTCTTGGGGAACGATAAACTTGCTATTGTCCTCATAGCCGGTAAATAGGTGTATAATATTTTGATATCAAGATGTGATCAATCGATTGTCTTGCGTGATAATTTGCATAAACGCCGGAGTCGTTTATGTATAAAATTATCACGCAAGCCAATCGATTGATCATCGTCATAAAATCGAAAAATGAAATTGTACCTTAAATTTGCATGTAATTGATACCGCGAATCCACGTGCTACAAGCCCCGCTTCTTGTCGATATTTGTCCCACCCTGTACATGATTTTTTTTTAACTACTCTTAATAATGATCCAGTACATTTATAAAGAAATAAAGAGCATTAAAAATATGTAATTTTATCTCGAACAAAGACAATGGAAATGTAAATATTTTTGAGTCTTGTTCTTCGTATATTACAGGAATTTGACAGATCCTATAATTTCCTGGACTTGTTTCTTCTTTTTGAAAGGTGTTTGTTTTTCGAGTTTGAGAAATGAAACAAGCTACAGGGTGACAGATCTGGCGAATAGTGTTGGTGTGACAAAATTTTAACTTTCTATTTAATTCAAAGACACTATTACTCTTCAGGGAGTTTGTGTTTGGACGCTGCCATGAAGAAAAAATTAATGTACGTAGTGGATTCCTGATTCTACTTCCTTCCTCTCATACTGTAGGAGAATATTTGGCGCACTACTAATTTTAGCGCATTTGGCGCAAGAGCCCCTGAACGCTAAAATTTATTGTGCGCTAACAAAGAGGTAGAGCCACTTTTGGCCATATTTGGCCCTGAGAATTTCTGAAAAATCAAAATTGATCAGTTTAGGTTGCAAATGCAGTATTTATCTCTTGGACTGTTGGTGACCACGTATCTATTAATTGCGACGTAATTTCACATCTATTCAATGCATTATGACGTCATTTTCCTCATATCCTGTAAATTCCTTTGAAAATGACCTAATGTTGAAGCGTTTTTCAATATTTCATATAGAGCACAACCTCTGATCCAAAATATGCCAATTCATAATGAAAGGCCTATTTCTGAAGATCAAAAATCATGTTTTATTTTTTGGATCGTGGGCTGTGCTCATATTTTATTTCTTTGTTGAAGGTTGTCAAATACGCATATTTTCTGCAAATTTCAAGAACATTACAATATCTCAAAGCCGGTTTTCAAATATTTGGATTCCCAAAACGAAAATTCATTATAGAACATGAAAGCACTAAGTGTCTACTTTATTTTGATATATGAAAATGGAAAGAGGGTGATAGTTAATTAATTGATATAAGTTCAGGGCCATTTTATGTATAAGATGGCTCTTGCTCTTCCTAAATATTATATTTTGTGTGTGTTCAAAGCTTTTACATAAGTGTAACGTGAAGCGGTCACCCATCCAAGATTTAAACAGGCTCGCCGTTGCTTAACTTGCCTGAAATAGAGGGAGACTCTACCGCATCACCAGAAAAGCTAGCTCACTAGTGAGGCAGTATAAGTTCCCTATATACTGTCCGCTACAATAAATACATGTAAACCGGAACGCGCAATTACGTAATGTCGAACGGTCGTTGGATTTTATAAACACACTAGTACTGCACATGATAGGATCGATTGCGAAAGTTCTGCCAAATTATAATTTAATTAAACTATTGTTTCCCCGGTAGTTGTTACCTGGTTCTTTATCATTAGCACCTTCAAAGTTTTGCTTCTAGGCGTGTCAATCATCTATCGCCTCGAGGTAAACAATGCAATCAAGCCTGGCGATTGAACTTGCAAACAATACCTGATTATGATACCGTTTATCCAAGTAACTTTCTTTAAATGCATACATTGTTTTCATATGAATAAAATGCATAAATGCTTCATTTCTTTTATTTTAAATAAAAATAAAATAAATTTTAAAACCGTGTCACGACCGTGTCATTGCAACACCACAGTAAAGTTAACGAGTGTTTATTTATATACGGGAGTGCTATTCAGTATTGTGTTTCCGTGCTTGATTAACTAAATGTCAAATACGGGTGTGGATAAAAAATCAAAATATCATATTTTTATATTTTTATGACAAGAACAAGTGCTAATTTTTTTTTTTGCGCCAATGCATCCCCATTTGCGTTTTTGCTAAAATACGTTTGCCAATTTTTTTTCGTTTTACAGTAAACCTTTCGATTTTTTGGCAAATATCTTAACTCCTCCAGAAATTGAAGTGCCTCCCTGAATAAGAATTTGAACAACAAGACCACTAAAATTCAAGAAAATGGAATCTAAAACTGTCTTTGTCTTCTTGCAGTACTTTGCTCTTTTCAGACCTTTGCTGTTTTTTGTCAAATGAATCTTATTGTAATTTTTTTCAAAGAGTTTAAAGCAATGGATTTAAGTTTCATTATCTGTTTAAGTTTCAGGCAATCAGGGATAACTACAATTTCTGATTTTTAAAAATAATTATTCAGATATTCTTTCACGCTGACATTTTCACTCATTTTTCAAAACATAGGATGACCATTGAATACTAAGCTTTTTTACTGTCAAGTGTTTTTTTTAAATAGTGCAAACTACTTCCAAATGGATGCCTTTCAAATTTGCCACGTCTCTTAAAATCAATCAAACATCATCAGTGATAATATGTTGAATTTTGGCAAACAGAACATTGGTTGTTGTGAGTCGTTGTCGCCAAGGACAGTACGCATTTTGATGTCCAATACACCATTATTGTTCTTTTTAATCTCACATTGGTTACTGTATATTTCATAAATTTCGGTGAATATTTCTTGCGCATTCTTTACAAGTTTTACGGAAACATTAAAAAGGCGTTTAATTTCACTTAAGAACTGATTCTTTACCATTCATTTTAAATGCAGTGCCTTGAATTTTCCTGCTTATCAGGATGAAAATTTGAGATGAAAAGTGGTCAAAGAAACTGATATCAATACATTAAAGATTCAATCATAAGAGAAAGACAAGTTTAATTGCCATATGATATCTGTAGTGTATGTCATAG